GGAACAAATCTCATATAATTGATTTGCTGGTAGTCTCGAAACCCTACTTATGAACGAAAAATGGTCCAATGTAGGCTTGCTTGGAAAAAAACAAAGTACCAGAGGAATAACATTATATTTCAATAAATAGGTATATCAGGAACTTCAATAAACGAAGGATAATGCTAGTGTTAATCACAGTCGTCTGTTCTATCTTGGAGTGTAAACATAGTAAATAAATACAACAAAACTAAATAAAATAGATAACTCGAGTAGCCCAGCCGTTGAACGAACAATAGGGAGATAGACTAGAAATAAAGGAAATAAAAACAAATAAAAACCAGCAAATCAAATGTGACGACTATACTTGTCCCATGATAAGAGACACGTAAAGGGCTATTATTACAAAGTCGATAAATTTTGGCATTCGCTGGATAAATATTATAATAGCCCATGGAATCGTGAAATTTACAACTAACTAAAGGCTTCAAGACAGTAAAAGGCGTACAGAGCCCTTGAAAAACCGAGTTGACGATAACAGCATAAAAAACTCAAGAAGGAAAAATAAAAGCAGCTTACTATTTAAAAAGGCACAATAAAGGAGATAAGAACTGAATTCGATCAGTATTTATAGAAAAAAGCAAAATTGTACAACTTTTTTCTCATTCAGCATTTTTAACCACAGAAATAAGAGTTTCATGAACTTTTTAAACTATCCTGGAAAATTGTGTAAAATTGTTTTAATAAAATGATACTGTTTATTCTTATCAGGTGAAATTAGAGGAAATAACACTAAAAATCTCCGTAAAAACTGAGGGCTTTCGGCGATACCAGTAAAAAATGGAGAACCTGACAAGATAATTAAGGAAACCTGTTCTTACTCAAAAAATCCCAGTTGAGGAACGGGCGGCATCTGATAGCAAGTCAGTGGATCGACAGAAAGGAAAGTAAGCAAATAAAAAATAATCATAATAAAAAGTAAGACAGGGGCCTGACTTCAGTGACGTATTAACTATTTATAAGTGAATGTTCAGCAGGAAGAAGAGGGATCCAGATTGACTAGGCTTATCTTAGCGAAGGTACAAAATAGTTCAATAATGGCTCATACGACTTTCAGTTCATCTAGTCCAGAAAGCCACTAGCCTTATTCATTTTCGCCCAGGCACACAATTCTGCCCTCGATTTTGGGAGATATGGAGTTGAGCTTAGAAGGCTCGCCGTAGTCGATTGTATGCGAGCGACCTCGTCTCCATACACAACTGTCTTCATCCACGCTATCCTGCTGGTTCGTCATACTCAGCATGTGTCGCTCGAGCGTCTGTATTAAGCTGTGCCGCTGTTGAGATCGTCTACCGAGCAGGAAACTATTCAGCCTCTGCAAACACAAGAGTGGCTGATCAGTCAGTTTGAGAAATGAACCGCACAAATAAGTAACTAAATAGATAAATATATGTGAAATTAAATTTAGAGGCCTATAACCAAGCTCCACTTGGGAATAGGCAAGTATCATCCACTATCTTTATCGCCTCATAAATAAACTAAGATTATGGTTACTGAGCTAGCGATATTGGAGGACACAATCAGTGAATTCCGGAACGGACAACTCGACAATATGATGATGTGACTGGCCCAGAGGTTTAGAGCTCTGCATCTTTAGGTCGTTTAAGGGTTTGGGCTCACTACCCCTGCTTCTAGAGACATGTCAGAACTGTAACAAATCGAGACTCGAAAGGTGACGGTATCATTCCCCTGAAGCTAAACCACTCCTTGGATCCATAAAAAGCTCTTGTCATTGTACGGTGGCGCCAAGTATATACAGCATGAGGGCATTTATCAGCGTTTTAGCAAGAAAAGGAGAGCCCGGTGAGGCTATTGGTCAGAGGAAACTCCGGAACATACGGAGCACCTCCTTTACCAGAAATTTACATATAACTTTTAGTCAAAAGCTGATGGAAGGCTTTCATACTCCATAATTAAAAACGCTAGGAGACAAATCCCTTATACAAAACGGCATGGCGGATTAAGGAGCTTAATTGATGTCTCAAAAAGCTTTTACGCCAGGAGAATTTAGCCCAACCGCGAAGGAATGAGATGTTTCTTACAATACATAATTCAGTCGAATATACACACTAGTTTGTGAAAGAGCTCTATCCGATTTGCCTCAATCTTCATAGTCGAACAGTAAAGACGAGAGTCCAATGATGGATAAAATCAGATATGCTTCGAGAGTAGCAAGTTTTGACCTAATTTATATGGAGATCTCAGCAATTCCGATCGGTCTATTTGTCGAGTTTTGAAGCAGTAGAAGCCTGCTAGTCCGTTGGGAAGATGGACATCTCACCTAAGAGCAGGTGAATTGACAACTGTCGAATAGGCCTTGAACTCGCTAAGTATTACGCAAGAGTATTCTAGAACCCACTTAAAGTACAATAAAGTTTGAAACCTGGACCGTAAAATTGATAATAGAACTTGGCTACCCCAGTTCACCTGGGGTGAGTTAAAGATAGTTAGTGGAATTTTACCACAATGAGATGAGTTGGCCCCAAGGTATCATTGAATCTCTCCCGAAGCTTTTTTTTAGTTCGACTGGAACTCAGATTCGACCTCACATAAGTCTCAGCGAGAAGAATTATCTCGAAACCCTACTCTAATACGAATATCATATTCATGACTTAATCGTGGTTGCGAAACAAACTCACGCTGAAAATAAGTGGCATCCTCGATCGCAATAGGATACGTTTGCTTCGTTGACTATTTTACTTCACCATTGTCCATAAATAACCTTTAGCGAAAGGGGGTGATTAATTTATTGTTCAATAATTACTGATGGATCCGAAACATTCTTATATCGAACAGAAATCTAGTGTCTTATGATCAAATAATGCACCATCGTAATTAGCTTAATTCATGGAGTGTTTGTTACTGGAACTGCAGATAAGGGAATACGGAGTGGGTTAACCAACATCAATTCTTTTAGACAACATTTTCGCTAAAAATGAAATAGTCGCCTAAAACCGACAAATAGCCTGTAGGAACTAGCTTGAATCACGCAAAGTTTCTCGACCTTATTCTAATTCCTAAATTCCGGAGCTTCTTATCATGTATCCGACTGGTAGTTCTGTCAATCGCCTTTCCTAACCCGTCAGCCATCTCTTGTAACTTAATGAAATCCATATCATTCAACAGTTGTAGTGTAGCGAGACAATCGCTATCTAAACTATTGAATGATGTCGATTTCATTAAGTTACAAGAGATGGCTGACGGGTTAGGAAAGGCGATTGACAGAACTACGCGTCGGATACATGATAAGAAGCTCCGGAATTTAGGAATTAGAATAAGGTCAAGAAACTTTGCGTGATGCATAAGATCTCACGGTTTTTATGCATACAACTAAGGAACTCTGCTAATTATTCGCTATATTCAGTTAAAAATTCGTATGATTTGGTGAAATTGCTAGGTCAGCAGATTAAACCTTTGACAAGTCTAATTTATGAACCGTATTGCATATAGACACTAACACACAAATATACATACTCATACAATCGAGCAAAAATAACAGAACCAGTGAAAGAAAATTAACCAAACCACTCTATATCGATCTATCTGGGTTTGTAATTTTTAATTTTTTGGCTCGATTGAGTCTATATAAGAAGTAAGATAGAGCCGGATAGTGTTATTGCTTTAGTGTTAACGTGAGACTTTTGCAAGAATGACACCCAACTCTGATGATGCCCGTCACATGATGGAAGAAAGCTCAGCACTTTTTCACCCGAAACGAGGGAGGAAGTCTCGTGGACTGAGTCAACATGAATATCGTATAAAAGCCAAATGGCTGCAGTACAACGAGTTTCATCCGTCCTCATCTGGTGAGATCAACCAAAAAATCTCTTCTTCATGTAATTTCATTCGAAATGAAGGTCCCCCTAACACATTTAATTAAGTAAATAAAAAAATGGTGACAGTGAAGGTGTGATAGGAGGATGTAGGAAATGTGAATAAGCCAGGGCAGAAGGGGAGATAGCATAATTGTTTATCACACGTTCGGTGAAAGGATCGGCCTAACTTGTCTCTTTGACCAGTTGTAATATCGTGCTACAAATGGCAAAACTCACTGCCGATGCCGCCGAAACGTCAGCGAATGTATTACGTCCACGGTCCAACTTTGTAAGTGATCATGCAGACAATGGACTCCAGACAAAGTGCGTTCCTCTAAGTCTTCCTACCAATATGACCGAATTGCGAAAACAAGGTCAAACAACTTCTATACAACGAAAGGAGACTGCGACCACACAAAGGCCACACCATCTTGGTCTTCATACATTCGCCAGACAGTTAAAACTGGAAGTGGCAGCTCCATTTACCCAATTAATTTGAATAAGCCTCCTCACTATATTCTACTTTTTCCACGCTTGTGTACATACTGAATCATGATATCTAGTAAAGAATCAATGTTGGTCATTTCATCAATATTGTTTAATCTCGGATCAAAAATGCTCAGTCTTTATTCTCTTGAAATTGAGATTAAAAAAGGAAAAGATTTTCGAAGCAACTAGTTTAAGCCGACTCATCTCATTGTAAGAAAACTCAACTGTCAGCCCTTAAATAACCTTAAGCGACTTATGGTGATTAATTTCTTATTTTCATACATTAAAAAAATTCACCTGAATCGTTCCGAAGTAATTGAGAACTAAAGTACTCAAAATTGGCCCAGTTTCATCATCTAAAACAACTGGACATTTTGCCATCACATTATAGCCCTCTTTGCCGATCGCCATGTACTTCTTTGTGGCCACAAGATACTCTCCAGAAGGTTCAATAAGACGGCCCTGAATCCTCACACTGGCTATTTGGATACGAGAACCCGATGGTTTAGCAGGGTCGAATCCATATGAAATTCCGGAAACCTGGGCGAAGCGACCTAAACAAATAATAATAAAGAAAAAAAATTAAAATATGGCATAAATACTGCATATAATAATTCTATTAAAACGCTATATTTAATATAAATTATATATGGAAAAAAGGAATAAAATTTTTAAAATCAAGGTGAGGTAGATGTACAAATAAACACAAAATCCACATTTGAAGTTTAGGGCTGAAAATAATTTCGCTGCCTGACGGTTACACATGACAGCCGACAACCAATGGGCAGAAAATATCATTTCCTAGCTCCCCATCGGCTAATGGACAATCTTAAACCTTTGTAGCTATGCCCAAAACGACCACAAGCAGTGTTCCAGATCGACAAAAACACTCTTCACTAAATTTATTAGCTGAGGTTAGCTTGGCAGTGAACGCCAATACCAGCAACAAAATTCACCGGTGCTCTGGTCAGAGCCGCCCAAAGGATAACTTTTGTGCTTTGGAAAACCGAAAGTATTCCGCTCGAGTCATATAAGGGCGCTAATGAGACCTTGACGAGGTCGGGACTATTGTCTGCTCCGAATGGTAAACAAATCTTAGAAAAAAATACAAAAAAATGGTGTCTCTCACGGCAAGGAAAAAGCCAAACCGACCAATAACAATATATTATTATCTCCCATCTCTTCTTTATGCTGGTTTCGTTGTGCGAAT